TTTTTTGGTAAATAACTTATGATAGCTATATTATTATGTCCATCTCAGGCTTTTTCTGCATACTTCTACACCTTTGACTTCCTTGGACTTGTCCCAAAAGCTCCCCTGACCCAGGTTCTTTCCACTATTGAGACTCACTGCAACAAAAATTGGACCTCTGTGAGTTCACAGATACTAATTGCAATCCTACATTTTATAGTAAAAAGCCTGGTGAGATGAGAAGTGAAAATGAATCACAATATCCATTTGAGAGTCCATTTGATGATGCTGGTGTTATCTTTTGTAATACTGATCCTTAAATTCATTTTTATGACTGTTATTTCTTTCTGCAGCTTACCGCTGAAAATCCAAACATTACGGCAAAATATCTGAAAGATTATTGTGCTTCTGCTCATTATATTATGACTATTCTCTTGAAAGGATACAAGTTCAATAACACCTGGGATCAAATCTCTTTTGAGAAACAGGTATGGTTTCATCAGTTTAAATTATTAGCCTTCCTTTACCGAAATGAAGCTGTTCAGTAATGTGAATTTATGAATTTCATGCATACAGATCAATCTCCTCATTAATATAGCAGACTGAATATGGATATTCAGTTATTCATAAATCGTTAGAGACTATAATTTAACCTCAGATTATTTGCATTGCTCAAGAGCACAGTGGAAGCAGCTCATAAACTGACATCATGCCATGTGCTCAACCTGACAATATATCAGATGACCTCTGCTCCAGAAGTATGAGAAAACCTCCTACTTCTGGGAATCTCCCTGTATATGGCCTTACTTTCCCCATCAGTGTGATTTGTACTCATATAAGATTGTATGATGGTTACAGGTAGCAGACACAGATATTGGTTGGACATTGGGCTACATACTGAACCTGACCAACATGATTCCTTCTGAACGGTCCAGAGCGGTGACAGGAGTGCCGCACAGTCAGTGGGCAGCTCAGATTTTCTTCATCATATTTGCCCTCTTCCTCAGTTTACTTATTATAGCCATTCTGTTTGTCCGTGATCTAAGCCAGTGAGTTGTGTGTCATGAATGTGTGTATACATTAAAATTGATTGCTTATGTTTGTTTTTTTT